GCCTAAAACATCAATCAGAAAGAATATATGTGCCCCCATGTTCATAGCAGCACGATTTACAATAGCTAAAATCTGGAAACAGCCCAAGTGTTCATCAGTAGAAGAATGAATAAAAAAGCAATTGGTACATATACACAATAGAGTACTATGCAGCTGTAAGAAAGAAAGATCTCTTATCCTTTGAGACGACATGGAGGGACCTGGAAAGTATTATCCTAAGTGAAATAAGCCAAGCAGAAAAAGACAAATACCACATGATCTCACTTATATACGGAATATAATGAACGTAACAGTCTGAGGAATACGGTAGGCCCAGAAACATGGAAGTAGGGCACAGACTGACATCCGTCAGAAGAGGGGGTGCGGGGAAGAGATAAACCACAGAACTTATATGCATGTATATATAACCAATAGACATGGACAACAAAGCCGGGGACGGGGCAGGTGTGGGGTGGGGAGGGGGGTGCCATTGGGGTAAAAAAGGAGAAACATCTGTAACAAAAAAATTAATTAATTAAAAAAAAAAAAGAATCACCCTTTGACAGAGTTTCACTGGACCAAGAAGCTATCTCAGCTATAAAGTTAGAATATTTAATATAATGATATTTTAATACATTCTACTTCACCTAATAAAACTATCATAAAGTGGAAAAAAAAAAGTCTTAGGAACTAAATGCAGTAAATAGACTTTGGAAACTGATTCAAATCAAACAACTCAAAAATAACATTTTAAAGATAATTGGAGAAAATGAAGTATTAGTAGGTATTAAAAATTATTGTTGATTTTAGCCCTGGCTGGTTTGGCTCAGCAGTTAGAGCATCGGTCTGCGGTCCAGAGAGACCCGGGTTCGGTTCCCGCTAAGGGCGCGTACCTCCATTGCAGTTTGTCCCCAGCCCTGGTTGGGTCATGCGGGAGGCAGCCACTCGATGTGTCCCTTTCATGTCGATGTTTCTCTCTCTCTCCCTCTCACTCTATCTCAACAAAAAAATGAAAACATGTCCTTGGGTGAGGATAAAAAATTATTGTTGATTTTATTGGATATAATAATGGTATTATGATTATGTGTTAGTTAAAGTCCATTCTTGTTAAAGTGACATACAGAAATATTTACAAATTAAATTACTCGTGTGTGTGTGTGTGTGTGTAATTTATAAGACTTTTAAAAAATATTTTAGCCAAAATATAAAAAGCAGTGAGGGTAGGGTGGGTAGATGAAATAAGAAGGGAATAATGTTGAAGATGAGTCCATGGTGATTCATACTTTTTTTCTAATTATGTTTATATTTAATACATTGAAAGTTTACCAAATAAATAAATAATGTGAAACTGAACACACAGAGCAACCAGACCCCATTAAACAGAAATAATTTAAGAAGCTGAAAAAAAATTTAAATTCTAATTAGTGTATTTGCTGAGATTTGAGAATAAGGCATCCATAAAATAAGAACTACCAGAAATAAGGAGACTCACAGAATAAAGAAATGCTGATGAAAATTAAAAATATGACAGAGAGAGAAGAATTAGCAGGATGGGTATTACAGAAAACTGAATTTATGATTTGAAAGACTAAATTGAGAATTTCTCTTAGATGACAGCAATGAAAGGCAAACAGACAAAGTATAAAAGAAAAGTAGATATCTTATATCTACTCAATAAGAGGAACAGACTAAAAGGAAAACAAAAAAACTGTGATGGAAAAAAGTCTCTTTGAGGGAAAGAAAAACTTCCAACTTTCTAAACAGAAATATTAAAGAAAAAGAAAAATAGATTGTGGTAAGATTTCTGAAATCACTGCATATGGAAAAAAATTCCTACTGGCTTTCAGGCAGAAGAAATGTGTTATCACCAACAAGAGAAAAGCAGTTTACTATTAAGTTTCTTATCTTGAACACTATACATCTGAAGGACGAGAACAATGTCTATACATGTTTAAGGAATAGAGTCTGACCCTAGAATTCTACCCCTAAGAAACCACCACACAAGTATATGGTAAAATAAAGACTGAAGTATGCAAAGACTCAGCATGAACCACCCATGCACCAATTCTGGGGAGAAAACCCACCACATATGTAAGTATTGAGTGTCCCTCCTCACTACCATCACAACAATAATGGCCAGAAGCATTCAAAGCTATGAAGTAACTACCAAATAACAACGAACAAACAAAAAACCACAATTATTATCCATAAAAATATAATTAAGTCTAAATACTATAGTTGCACCATAGGTCTTTAAAAGACCAATAAAATAGGTATTTCTGTGGTAATTCTGCCCCCCCCCCAATTCTCAGTGACATTAGGCATGAGACGGGGGACACGGAAACATCTTAAAAAAGTAAGAAACAGTACATTTAACTTCGTGCAAGTGTGCACAAGTGCCTCCATAGTAGCTCTGCACTCAGGTCAACTCTCTGGCAAGAGCCCCGGGTCACCTAGCATCCCCCATTACAAACAACCCAACCCTGACCTGTTGTGCAGTCTCCACTCAGAGACTGGCAGACAGCAAAAATCCTCTAGAGCAGTGGTTCTCAACCTTCCTAATGCTGCAACCCTTTAACACAGTCCCTCATGCTGTGGTGACCCCCAACCATAAAATTATTTTTGTTACTACTTCATAACTGTAATTTGCTACTGTTATGTCTTAGGCAACCCCTGTGAAAAGGTCGTTTGACTACCAAAGGGGTCACGACCCATAGGTTAAGAACCACTGCTCTAGAGGATAGCTGAATATTGCTTGAGAAGTAAAAACTGTATAACTGTAAGCATTTCCATTTATTCATGACTAATAAAGTTTTTTTGTGTGGTACTTGTTTTGTTTTTGCTGCTACTGATACAAATAAAATAATACAGACCTAGGTAAAGCCCCAATGTGTTATCTTCCCCATTTTCACCCTTGCTTACTCTCTAGATTAGTCCATACCCTGATTGTTTTCTTTTGCATGTTCTAAACATTTTCAATGTTATAAACAGTGCTGTGGATAACGAGAAATGAGCACAGCCTCTCTGTGAAAATGCGCAAGAGTCCTCAAAACTTAGGAGTAAAATTGGTGAGTTGTGGGGTACATACAGCTTCAGTTTAACCAGTATCTCTTAAAGCTAAACACATGCCTATCTTATAACTCAGCAACTCTACTCCTAGGTATATACTTGAGAATGAGTACATATGTCCACCGAAATACATGTTCAAAAATGTACACAGCAGCTTTATCAAAAATAGCCCCAAACTAGGAAAAAGAATATCCACCAAGAGAATGGACACATATATTGTGGTATATTCATACAATGGAATAGTACATAGCAATAAAGAACAAACTAATAATTTAATAACAGAGGTGTAGCCCTGGTTGGTTTGGCTCAGTGGTTGGAGCGTCAGCCTGCGGACTGGAAAGTCCTGGGTTTGGTTCCCGCTGGGGGCAAGTATCTCGGTTGCAGTTTGTCCCCGGTCCTGGTTGGGTTGTGCAGGTGGCAGCCACTCGATGTGACCCTTTCATGTCGATGTTTCTCTCTCTCTCTCTCTTCCTCTCTCTCCCTCCCACTCTAGCTGAACAAAAAAAATGGAAAAATGTCCTCGGGTGAGGATAAAAAAAAAAATTTATTTTTTTAAATATGTTTTTACTGATTTTTTTAGAGAGAGAGAAAAGGAGAGAAAGAAATAGAAACATCAATGTGAAAGAGAAACATCTATCTGCTGCCTCCCCTCTACTGGGTATTGAGCCCGCAACCCAGGCATGTGCCCTGACCAGGAATCGAACTGGAACCTCTCAGTCCATGAGATGATGCTCAATCCACTGAGCCACACCAGCCGTCCGGGCAATATTTAAAGAGTAAAATTACAGCCCTGGACAGTTTGGCTTAGCAGTTAGAGTGTCGGCCTGCAGACCAATGAGTCGTGGGTTCGATTCTGGTCAAGGGCACATACCTCAGTTTCAGTTCATCCCTGGTCCTGGTTGGGTCATGTGGGAAACAACCAGTCATTGTGTCTCTCTTGCATCAATGTTTCTCTCTCTCTCTCTCTCCCTTCCTCCCACTCTATCTGAAGATAAATAGAAAAATATCCTCAGATGAGGATTAAAAACAAAGAGAGAGTAAAATTACATTAGAATCTCTTTTAAAATGCAAAACAATTGATTTCTCAGTCTTCTTCCTTTGTTACCTCCTCTTTCACTCATTCTGTATAGAGGGGGCAAACCTGTTGGACAATTTCTACCTCAACGAAAAAGTGGAAATGAAATGGAGAAGAAAAATTAATCTAGCAGCAGCAAAAACATTTGCCTCAATTACTAAAGCAACCATTTTTAGAGCATTTAAAAAAATTATTTTTTCCTTTTATTGATTTTAGAGAGAGGAAGTGAGAGGGAGAGAGGGAGAAACATTAATGAGAGAGAACATCGACTGGCTGCCTCCTGCATGCCCCCCACTGGGGATCAGGCCCACAACCTGGGCATGTGTCCTGACCGGGAATTGAACGGGTGACCTCTTGGTGCATGGGTTGACGCTCAACCACTGACCCACACCAGCCGGACTACAGCATTTTTAATAGTGGCTAATAGTCACTCAGAAAAAAACACACCATTTCATAAATGGTTCACAAACCATTTCTAAGCCAGCTTCTTGCAGAAACATCTACTAGAAGAAACAGAAGAAAGGCCCTGGCCAGTTTGGCTCAGTGGTTAGAACGTCTGCCTGCGGTCCAGAGAGACCCGGGTTCGGTTCCCGCTAAGGGCATGTACCTCGGTTGCAGTTTGTCCCCGGCCCTGGTCGGTCGTGCGGGTGGCAGCCACTCGATGTGTCCCTTTCACATCGACGTTTCCCTCTCTCTCTGTTCCTCTCTCTCCCTCCCACTCTGTCTGTACAAAAAATGGAAAAATGTCCTCGGGTGAGGATAAAAAAAAAAAGAAAAAAGAAAAAGAAGAAAGAAATGCTAAGGCCACAGTGAATCTTGTAGAGGAACCTGTCTATTCTGTGACTCTGTAACTCTAATCAAAATAATGGGAACTTACCACTTCATGAATGGATCTATTGAAGCCATCATCTTCTGTAAGGATCAACAATATTATAAGCGCCATATACACGTGGTGTGAATTTCTTTCTTCAACATGATACAGAATCTCGAGAATTGGTAAAACCTAGGGAATATAAATTTTACTTTACTATTTCTATTACTTTATTATAAAATCAATGTCTTAAACATTTACACTTTTATTACATACCCTTTGCTTTAACATAATAGTTACATTTTTCTTTAGAGAAAAAAACACACAAACCAGCCTCTGACCAAAAGTACTTTCCATATGTATAGCTAAGACACCAGCAAAGGAAATCACCAGCCTGTGTCATTCTGCTGCCACATAAAGGTTGGGTTTGCAGAGACCATGTCAGCTCACAGTCAGCACTTGACACTGAATAGAGGCAGGTCTGTCTCCAGCCTAGCAGGAACTTACACACAGTATTCTTAGAAACACTGTAATGTGCCAAACATTACCTTCCTAACAGCAAAGACTGTAACATAAAAGAATTGTTAACAACAAAAATCAGATCAACACAGTAAAATTTCTACCATAACATAGTTTGTAATCATAGCTTCAACAAATATTTATTAGAGAAGAAAAGCAAAAGGACAGCTAGAGACATCAGAAAAGATATTAAAATAACCTATGCAAAAAATTTAAAAACAAAAAAGCAAATTAAATAAAGAAACCCTATCCCACCCTCCCAAGTAAAAACAAAACCTGTAACTTTTCACTAGTGTATATCATATACAGACAACTGCTCCCTGCATCTTTTTTAAAAATTGATCTTACAGAGAGGAAGGGAGAGAGAAAGAGAGAGAAACATCAATATGGGAGAGAAACATTATTGTTCGGTTGCCTCTCACACGTGCCCCAACTGGGGACTGAACCCACAACCTGGGTATGTGCCCTGACTGGGAATCGAACCAACCACCTTTTGGTGTATGGATGACAGTCCAACCCACTGAGCCACACCCGCCAGGGCATCCCTGCATCATCTTATATACCAACCTCTTTACCACAGAACTTGCCAGAACAGGTGATGTCACAGGCGTTCTGCTTATTGCTATCATTTCCCTTAGGAAACATCACGCTTAGAATTGTCTCTGTGCTCATACACACCCATCAGTAAACAGGCTTTCTCATTATAAATTTTTACTCACGTAAGTAGTATACTGTTATACCCAATTTTGCTATTTAGGCCAATGTTTTTCACATATAGCTTGTATGGAGACAGATTCTTCCATTATGTTTTTTGTTCTTACTGTCACTTTGACATGGAATATGATCTTCAAATGAATTTTAATATTCCACATTACTATTTTATCTTTAACACTAAAGAAAAGGGAGGGGGCTACCAAATACCTCGTGAATCCTGCTATCAACCTATAAAAAATGGTGCAGAGGGAATATTCCTTTTGCTGCCAGCAGTGGGTGACTGCTAAAGACCTAAAAGACAGGGAAACTTGTCATACTGCTATGTTCTCCTGCTCTGTGATGCCATCTCTACATGCTCTGTCTCCTACACTGTAACACCCATACTTTTGCCTGTGTCTGGTGACATCTCCCCATTGATTTCTCAACCATCAGCTTTGTGGCAACCAAGCAAATATGTACACTTCCCTTCTGGGGAAAAGAAATCATTCTTTAAAATATTTTAAATACAAAAAGCATGACATGTTTCGCATGATACTTACAAGATTTTCCATATCTGTGCGAGCCAACATGTATGTTCTAATATTACTATTCTGATGGAGCAATGTATATAAGAGGAGAGTTGCTTGATCAGATGTCTGCTGTTCACATAGAGTTGTGTACAAACTGTTAAAATTAATCTGGAAAGCATGTGGAATTGATGAGGGGAAAGGACTATTATCTGGAATACAGAAAACACAAAAACTTTTAAATAGTACAGTAGTATTTTCTAGACTGTGCCTTTTATAAATAATAAAAGCCCATTCATATATACAATTCAATTTCCATTAATTTTGTATAAGTTGCTACATTTCAGATTCAAAATTTCAGTTTACATTTAAATTTTTACTTTAAAAAAACCTAAACTAACGTAAAACATGGTGACTAGAGTTGATAACACTATTATTGTATAAATGAAATTTGCTAAGAGATTAAAGTGAAATATTCTCACCAAAAAAAAAAGAAAACACTGAGACAATCTATTTCTCTGTACTATCTAAAGAGCTTTCAAATGATTATGTGGATCATCCCTTATTTAATCTACACAACCACCATGTTATTACTCTGACCAGTACAAAAGATGAAATAGAGGCTCAGAGAGGTTAAACAGCTTTTCCAAGATCAACCCTGAGTAAAACACAGATTAATTAGCCTCTGTTGTTTTTACTACATAATACTGCTTCCTTAACAATAGCAATAATTCAGGGAGTCAGTACTATAATAGATGCTCATTTAATTCTTATAAAGACCCTCTTGCAGTAGAGATTGTCATCCCTGCTTCACAAATAAAGAAACTAGTATTTAAAAATTAAAACTGGGATATGAACTCAGGTCAGTCTAACTCTAAAGCAAATGTTCTGAATCAATGTACCACACAGTATAGAGTATAACCTTTTGATAAGAGAGTACTGTTTCAAAATAGAACCATCTACCTCATAGTTTGGCAAATTTCATACCACAGGCAGCCCACCACCTGTTTTGGAAATAAAGTTTTATTGGAACCAGCCATGCTAACTCACTCATGTATTACTTATACTTGCTTTGTGCTATGATGGCAGAGTTAAAAGGTAGAGAAAGAGACCACATGTCCAACACCAAGCCCCTTTGCAGAAAAAGTTTGCTCATTTCCGTTTTAATTTTTAGTTCTATAAAACTCTAAATAGAATTTGAGTGACAAATTTCAAACAACCAATCATTTAGAGTTTTGTCAGGTTACTTCCTAATTCTAACAGGTAGGGATAGACAGATCTAAATTAAGCATATGCTGGCCTGGTTATCTCTGAAAGAAACACTAATTTAAATGGATATAAGGAAGCACAGCCCTCATCTAAGATTTGTTTGACTCTTCTGAGAATATAGACAGGAAAATCTAAGTTATTCTCATCATTAATCAACATGAAAATACACTGGATGGTCATCTCCACAACTCTAAGACAATAAACAATACAGGGTAAACAATATCCTCTTTCCTCATTAGAAAGAATATCCAAAGAAAAAACACCACAAACCTTGTGTATTCTTAAAGGACATGATGGCCTGTCTGTAGGGGTTTGGTGCATCTGCAGCATCTGTCAGGTTGGCCAGTACCAGCAGAAGCAGGAGACTCTGGTTGGCCAGGGGGGAAGTAAGTGCTGGAGTGGCGGCTGCTTTGCTGCCCACACCACCCAGGGTAAAGACAGTCCAGAGGCCAGCTGGAGAAGAAAACATACAGGTAAGATATACTGACACTAGTAAGAATATATTTCTGTCCAATAAGCTAAACTTTTTCCTATTTAAAAGTTTGAAATAACACTCTCTTTTTTTATTATGAAAGTGAAACAAGCCCATTATTTGAAAATTCTCACATTGCCCAAGGATATAAATTTTTTTTTCTTTTTTTTTTTTATCCTCACCCGAGGACATTTTTCCATTTTTTGTACAGAGTGGGAGGGAGAGAGAGGAAGGGAGAGAGAGAGGGAAACATCGATGTGAAAGGGACACATCGAGTGGCTGCCACCCGCACGACCAACCAGGGCCGGGGACAAACTGCAACCAAGGTACATGCCCTTAGCGGGAACCGAACCCGGGTCTCTCCAGACCGCAGGCGGACGCTCTAACTGCTGAGCCAAACCGGCCAGGGCCATTTTTTTTTCTTTTTATTGATCTTAGAGGGAAAGAAGGGAGAGGGAGAGAGAGACAGAAACATTGATGAGAAAGAACACTGACTGGCCGCCTCCCACATGCCCCCCACTGGGGATCTGGCCCACAACCTGGGCATGTGGCCTGACCGAAAATTGAAACAGCGACCTCTTGGTGCATGGGTCGATGCTCCACCACTGAGCCACACCAGCTGGGCAAGGATACAAAAAATTTAAAGACTATTATCATTCCCTATTTGCATAACTCCATTGCCACTTCCCATAAATAACTACCATGAAGTTTCTAATATATCTCTCCATATTTTTCTTTATATACCCAAACATATTCATATTTATAAGAACAACTTTATACTAATTTATCTGAAAATCTAAGCAAAATATTAAAATAGCTAGGAAAATACAAAATATCTAAATTGACCAAAAGGACAAACGCCTGAATTGGCAAATAATCTTAGAAGAGTGAAAAACAGAATCAAAGAGCTAACCCTAAAAACAAACCAAGTCCAGCTATTTTTACAAATAAGTCTAAACAACCCTTGAAGTACAGCTACTTCTTATATTATATAAGCATTTCCAAAGTAGAGACATAAATTATATCTAGACAACTCATTTGACAAGGCCAGTAAAACCTTGATCCAGAAACTGGATAAAGACTGCAATTAAAACAAAAAAGAGAAATGAATAGATTTTTAGATAGCCTAAATCAAAAAGAGATGAAATTTTGTAGAAAAAGTTGTTAAAAGAATAAATGCAGCCCTGGTCAGTTTGGCTCAGCAACCAGGTTATAGCACTGACTGATGAATCAGAGTGTCTCGGGTTCGATTCCCTGTCAAGGGCACATATGTGGGTTGCCGATCCTCAGCTCTGGTCGGGGTTATGCAGGAGGCAACCAATCAGTATGTCTCTCTCACATTGATGTTTCTCTTTCTCTCCCTCCTTTCCTCCCTTCTACTCTATCTAAAAATCAATGGAAAAATATCTTTGGGTGAAGATTAACAAACAAACAAAAGAATAAATGCATCATGATCAAGAAAGTTTTGTCTCTGAAATGCAGAAATGGTTCACCATTTAAAAAAATCTATAAATGTGTTTCTCTTCATTCAAAAAAGAAAAAGAAAAAAAAAATATGGTCATCTCAAGAGATGCCAAATATTTTTAAATTAAACTTAAAAAGCTATTCTTAATTTAATGAAACAAATTCTTACAAAATAGAAAAGGAAAAAAACCTCTTGGTTTCTAAAATCTACCTAATCAGAAATCCACAGTGGTCAAACATTGGAAGAATTCCCATTAATACCACCAACATCAGCACTGTACTACTGATATTCCAAGAAAAAGATATTAAGAAAACACACACACACACATAAAAAAAAATAGAAAAAGAAAAAAATTTCATTATTTGCAAGCAGTCTATTTGTACACTATCCATGAAAGTAGCCACTAGCCACTGTGGGTCATTATGGGCATTTGAAATGTGGCTATGTAGTTCAAATCACATTGTGCGGTAAGCATAAAATACATACTGAGTTCTAAAGACTTACTACCAGAAAAAGTAAAAATCTGTCACTAATTTTTTAATATTGATTACACATTGAAATGGTAATATTCTGGGTATACTGTATTAAAGTGCGATGTTAAAGTAAATTTCACCTTTAAAAAATTTTTTTTTCTTTATTGATTTTAGAGAGAGAGGAAGGGAGGGAGAAAGAGAGAGAATTATTAATGAGAGAGAACACTGGCTGGCCGCCTCCTGCATGCCCCCCACTGGAGATTTGGCCCACAACCAGGGCACGTGCCCTGACCAGGGATCGAATTGGCGAGCTCTTGGTGCATGGGTCGATGCTCAAGCACTGAGCCACACCAGCCGGATTCTTTATACTTTTTAAATATGACTTCCAGAAAATTTAGAATTACATGGTTTGCATCTATGGTTCACATTATATTTCTATTGGATAGAGATGTTCTAGGTTCTAGAACATCAAGAGAATCAACTGACACTATTAGAACTAATAGATCTTGGTACTGTTCAATGATTTAAAAAAATCAACATGAAAAATTCAAAAGTCTGCCTCCTATACCTGAGCAATAATTAGCAAGTCCAACCACAACAGCAACAAACCCATGAAATATTCAAGAATAAACATAAAAGAGGTGTGGAAGGCCTTTAAGCAGACAGCCACAGAACATGACTAAAGGTCACATGAGATCTGAATTAGTATAAAAGTACAACATATTTCTGCACAAAAAAAATAAATACTGTAAAACTGCCCCTTAAATTAATCTAAAATTCAGTATAACCACTATCAAAATCCCAAGAGGAATTCAAGTAATATTTGGTAATACAGTGTAAATAAAATATTGCTGGATGTGAAAATACGTAAGAAAAAAATTTTTGAGAAGGACTAATTGGGAAGAAATGCTCCTGATCAAATAGCAAAATGTTTATAAAGCCCTAGTCATTTAAAAGTATGGTGTTAACAGTAGACAAATAATTTAATGGAAATGAGTTCAGCATAGAAGCACATGTGTTTGATAATTAGCCTTATGATACAGGTAGTATTCAAAATCAGTAAGAAAGAAATTTTGTAACTGTCTTTGGGACAATAGGATTTAATCATCTCCCCAATATTTAACTATAAAAGTATGTGTATAAACCTTGAGTTGAGAAAGTCTTTTTCTTATACAAGACTCACAATTAAAAAAGATATAAAAATAGTAATTTGACTACTTAAGAGTTAAATACTTTGTAATGAATTATATTATAAACAAGACAAGAGAAGGAGAAAACATTTTTAACATATAAAACAGAAAAGAGCCCTGGCCAGTTTGGCTCAGTGGTTGGAGCACTGGCCCTTGGACCAAAGGTTGTTGGTTCAATTTCTGGTCAAGGGCATGTATCTGGGTTGCAAGGTTTGATCCCCGGCCCTGGTTGGGGTTGTCTGGGAGGCAATCAGTCGATGTCTGTCTGTCTGTCTGCTTCTCTCTCTCCCTCCCTCTCTTCCACTCTATCTAAAAAAAAAAAAAAAAAATCAATGGAAAAGTATTCTCAGGTGAAGATTAACCAAAAAAAGAAAGAAAGAGAAGAATATTTATTTGTTAAAAAGACCTTCTGCAAATCAGTAAGAAAGCTAACAATTCAAAATAAAAATAGGCATTAAAATCCAAAGCAATAAAAAGATAAAATTCATTAATTAATATGACAATGAGATCATCCACGAACACACAAATTTTTAAAAGATTTATAACACCCAGTATTGTTAAAGGTACAGAAAACTACCAATAGTAAGAGATCAAAGTAGTACAGAATTTTTGGAAGATGTCTGGCAGTTGTCATTGAAATTAAAAGTGCACATCCCTGGTCGTGCGGGTGGCAGCCACTCGATGTGTCCCTTCACGTCGATGTTTCTCTCTCTCCCTTTCTCTCTCTCCCTTTCTCTCTCTCCCTCCCACTCTATCTGTACAAAAAATGGAAAAATATCCTCAGGTGAGGATTAAAAAAAAAAAAAAAAAAGTGCACATCCCCATCAACCCAGTGATTTTATTTCTTATTCTAGAGAGTATTTGAACAGGTACACAAAGATTCACGTACAGGAATATTTACTCTAACTTATTTTAAATGGTCAGATAATGAAAACAATGTGGATGTCCACCAAGAGCTATGGCTAATCCATACTATGGAATACAATATAAAGAGGTAGTATGTATTAACAGGGAAATATCACTAAGGTATAATGTTAAGTAAAAAAAAGTTGCAGAAAACCTGAGGTTAATAATTTTAAAGTCACTCACTAAAATTGTGTGTGTGTGTGTGTTTTAAAAACAGGAAGGACCAAGTGTACATCATAGGCGTAAGAGAAATTACCTCTGGCATGGAATTCAAGGACTTTCACTTTATTTGTATAGTTAAATATTTTACAATAAGAATATATTCATTTCATTTATTTCTTTAAAAATAAATGTAAAATATCAAAATTAAAATAATAGAACAGTACACACCCAATCAGTATATAATTATGTAAAATATGGAAAAACCTCATCAGTACATCATTAAGTGAAAAGACAAATCACAAGTGTGTGTGTGTGTATGTGTTTTTATATATATAATTTATATGCCCATTTGTTTTTTTAAGAAATTGAAAATAGCCCTGGCCGGTTTGGCTCAGGGGTTGGAGTGTCAGCCTGCGAACCAGAGTCCCGGGTTCGGTCCCCACTAGGGGCACGTACCAAAAATAAAAAATAAAATAAAGTAAAATAAAAAAGCAATTGAAAATAGCGCTGGCCAATTTGGCTCAACGGTTAGAGCATCAGCCCACAGACCAGAGAGTCCCGGGTTCGGTTCCCGCTAAGGGCACATATCTCGGTTGGGGTCGTGTGGATGACAACCACTTGGTGTGTCTCTCTCACATGGATGTTTCTCTCTCTCTCTCCTCCTCCCTCTCTCCCTCCTGCTCTACCTGAAGATAAATGCAAGAATGTTCTCAGGTGAGGATTAAAAAAGAAAAAAAAAGAAAAAAAAATTGAAAATATACCTATCTATGCATGTAAATGCACCT